GGTCTATTCCCTAAAGACCTAAAAAGAGCATGCTACAGGGACACTGCTACATCGATGTTCATAGCAGCACAATTCACAATAGCAAGACTGTGGAACCAACCTAGATGCCCTTCAATAGATGAATGGATAAAAAAAATGTGGCATTTATACACAATGGAGTATTACTCTGCATTAAAAAATGACAAAATCATAGAATTTGCAGGGAAATGGATGGCATTAGAGCAGATTATGCTAAGTGAAGCTAGCCAATCCCTAAAAAACAAATGCCAAATGTCTTCTTTGATATAAGGAGAGTAACTAAGAACAGAGTAGGGATGAAGAGCATGAGAAGAAGATTAACATTAAACTGGGATGAGAGGTGGGAGGGAAAGGGAGAGAGAAGGGAAATTGCATGGAAATGGAAGGAGACCCTCAGGGTTATACAAAATTTCATACAAGAGGAAGTGAGGGGAAAGGGGAAAATAATACAAGGGGGAGAAATGAATGACAGTAGAGGGGGTACAGAGAGAAGAGAGGAGGGGAGGGGAGGGGAGGGGGGATAGTAGAGGATAGGAAAGGCAGCAGAATACAACAGACACTAGTATGGCAATATGTAAATCAATGGATGTGTAACTGATGTGATTCTGCAATTTGTATACAGGGTAAAAATGGGAGTTCATAACCCACTTGAATCAAAGTGTGAAATATGATATATCAAGAACTATGTAATATTTTGAACAACCAACAATAAAAAAATTTTAAAAAAAGAAATTATATGTCCGGCATGTGGGTATAACAATGACTTAATTTATTCAGAATAACTGAGAAGCAAAGTATAAATTTAATAAAACTGGTCATCAATTGATAATTGCTAAAACTGAATGTTGACTATATAGGGTATATAGATGTTCATTACATCATTCTTTATTTTTGCATGTAAATACATATTTATTTTTAGAATTTATTTAAATCCAAAGTGTTTCCTTTTTTTCTGAGTTTAGGGTTTGATCTTGGGGAGGCAAAACAAGATTTCTCAGAGATTTGGTTACTTAATTAAGATTGCATGATCAAGCATGGGTGCCTAAGAACAATAGTTTGTGATCAGTACAATGTCTTATTACATCTTTCAGGTACAATATTATATTTCTCATTATATCATTCTATCAACTTTTGTATACCTTTGAACTTCTCTATTAGAAAATATTTTGAAAACTAGTTTGGAATTGGGCACAGTGGTATACATTTGTATTTCTAGCAATCTGGGAGGCTGAGTCAGGAGGATTGCAAGTTCAAGGCCAGCCTGGGCAATTTAGACCTTGTCTGAAAAAATGAAAAGAGCTGGCGGGGGTTGGGGGGGGGGGGTTATAGCTTAGTGGTATAGCACCCTTGAGTTCAATCCCCAGTACCAAAATGTAAACGCCCCCCACCCGAAGAAAAACTATGTACAAAAATGCTATATGCAGTCTCCCTCTTTGGGGGGGGGAGCGGGTCTCTCTTGTGTCTATTGGTCTATTGTCAGTTTTATTTTCTCTTAATCTTTGAGGCCACTAGGTTTGAAGAGGAAGGCTATATAATCTAATCTTACTACGGGGCAGAATCTTTTTTGAATGGAGTTAAAATTCACAAAACTTAAAATTAACATTTTGGAGTACACAATTGAGTGACAATTAGTACATTTACAGTGTTATACACCCATCACCTCTACCTAGCTCCAAAATATTTTCATCATCCCAAAATAAGGAACATCCACATCCCTTAGAAACTCCCAGCTCTGGCAGTCAGTAATCTGCTTTCAGTCTGTATAGATTCATCAATTGAGGATTTTTCATACAAATTGAATCATATGTGATCTTTTGTATCTGGATGCTTTCACTGGGGCTATAGCTCAGTGGTAGAGCACTTGCCTTAGCACATGTGAGGCACTGGGTTCGATCCTCAGCACCACATAAAATTACATAAATAAAATAAAATAAAGTATTATGTCCATCTACAACGAAAAAAAAAAAAGACAACAGACCAAAGAAGTTCTGAACTCAGACATCAGGTGCCCTTGAGAACAGAGTGATCAGCATACTAAAATCAGATGGACTAAGAATCCAGCGACTACTCATGAACCTCTCCCCTGCTCTGTTTCATTCATGCAGGAGACTAAGCCAAGAAAAAAGATCAATGGATATCCCCAATTAAATGGTCAGGTCCATACCATATTTCTACAGTGAAGTCCACCAATGTCAGACCTTATTCACAAGGAGCTCCCAGTCAGTGTTTGGTAAATCAACAAGTCATGAGTTATTTGTGGAAAGTCTCAATAATAATAATAATAGACCAAAAGAAATGGGTGGGGGAGAACTAGACAAAATAGATAATACAGGAACAAAAGGAAGCATCATTTAAAAAATTCTCTAACATTTTGAAAGAAATAATAGAAGATAGTATATTCCTGAAATGCCAACATAAAGCTATATAAAAATACTCATAAAAAAGAGTTTTGAAGCCAGGCACAGTGGTGCATGCTTCTAATCCCAGCAGCTCAAGAGGCTGAGGCAGGAGGATCTCAAGTTCAAAGATAGCCTCAGCAACAGTGAGGCACTAAGTAACTTAGCGAGACTCTCAAAATAGGCCTAGTGATGTGGCTCAGTGGTTGAGTGCCCCAAAGTTCAATCCCTAGTACCAAAAAAAAAAAAAAAAAAAAAAAAGTTTTTGGAAATTAAAATAATACTAAAAATTCAAAATTCAATATACAATTACTGTAATATAAAGTTGAGATATTCTCTTAGAAAGTAGATCTTAAAGAGAAAGATGATGAAGTCAGAGAATCAATCTAAGAAATATAACATGAATAACAGAAATTTTAAGAAAATGAAGACATCAGAGTAATACAAGAAAAATTTCTAGAACTAAGTAATATGAATGTCTAAATTCTGTGAACAAAAGTCAAGATCATAGCTAGACATGTAATCTTGAAATTATATAGTATTAAAAAGGAAAAAAGTGATTCTAATGGCTTTCAGAGATGGGGCAAAGCAAAAACAAAGACTTAGCAGTTAGAATGGCATCAGATTTCTCAGTAGCAATACTGAAAGCTAAAGAAAAATGGAAAATTGCTTTTAAAATTCTACTGGAAATTCTTTTTCAAGCTAAATTTCTATACCCAAACTACCAATTCAGAATAAAGGTAGAATAAAGACATTTGTAGGTATGTAAATTCTCAGAAACATACCTCCCACTCACCAGTTTAAGGAAGTTTTTGGAAGATATTTTCCACCAATAAGAGGTATAAGAAAGCAAAATATGTAAGATTGAAAAAACAAAGACTCAACACAGAGAAGGATTATCCTAGGATACTGGAAAAGCAATATTCCAAGATTAAAACTATATAAGAAATCTGGAGCCCAGCAAAACCAGATTACATAAGGTCAGAAGGCCTTATGTTAGGGACTTCCTCAAGATAAAGCAAAAGGATCCAACACAGGAATGAGCAGACAAGGGATATATTTCACTCCTTTGGAGCATTTGGGAATGAATTAATGGTGAATGTGTTAAAAACTAATAAACAATATTTTAATTATGGATATATTATCAACTATAATAGGAATATAATTAGCTTCAGAGAAACCAAAGTATTAATAACTAATCAACAATAGTTGTATTTTTTAACTCCAAAGAAACCAAAAAGTTTTACATTGAAGTCATTTGTAATCTATAGCCTAACAAATATTTACAGAGTTTTGATTTAACAGAAAGAAAGAATAGGGAAGGGAAAAAAAAGTATATTTGTGAAAAGGGTTTTGGGGGTATTATAATAGTTAAATTCTTTGCAGAAAAGCAAATCAAAACTATACTGAGGGCTGGGATGTAGCTCAGCGGCACAGCACTTGCCTAGCATGTGTGAGGCCCTTGGTTCAACCCCCCAGTACCACCTCCCCACCAAAAAATAAAGCTGGGCGCCGTGGTGCACACCTGTAATCTCAGCAGCTCATGATGCTGAGGCAGTAGGATCTCACATTCAAAGACAGCCTCAGCAATGTCAAGGTGCTAAGCAACTGAGAGACTGACTCTGTCTCTAAATACAATACAAAATAGGGCTGGGGATGTAGCTCAGTGGTAGAGTGCCTGAGTTCACTTCCTGGTAGCCAAAGGGAAAAAAAGCCAAGTGTGGAGGCCCATACCTCTAATCCCAGTAGCTTGGGAGGCAGAGGCAGGAGGATCATGAGTTCAAAGCCAGCCTCAGCAAGAACAAGGCACTAAGCAACTCACTGAGATCCTCTCTCTAAATAAAATACAAAGATGGGCTAGGGATATGGCTTAGTGTTCAAGTCCCCAGAGTTCAATTCCCAGTACTCCTCCCACCCACAATTTTTCTTGTATTACTCTGATGTCTTCATTTTCTTTTCTTAAAACTACACTGAGATTTCATCTCACCCCAGTTATAATGGTAATCATTAAGAATATAAGTAATAATAAATGCTGGTGAGGATTTGGGTAGAAATGATACTTGTACACTGTTGTTTGGATTATAAGTTAGTACAACCCCTATGAAAATCAGTATGAAGTTTCCTCAAAGACTAGAAATGGGGAAGTACTGAGGAATGAAATTGACCAAATTATACTGATAATATTGAGTGTATGTACAAATATGTAACAATAAATCCCACTATTATGTATAACTATGATGCACCAATAAAAAGGGAAAAAAAGAATGAGGAAAAAAAAAAAACTAGGAGTAGAACCACTATATGACCCACATAGTCCACTCCTTGGTATTTATTCAAAAGAACAGAAATCAGCACACTATAGTGACACATGCATTCCAATATTTATAGCAGCACAATTCAAACAGCCTAGGTGTTTGAAACCTAAGTGTCCATCAACAGATGACACGATAAAGAAAATGGTACTGTATATGTATGTGTGTGTGTGTGTATATATATATACACACACACACACAGTGGAGCTCTACTCAGCCATAAAGAATGAAATTATATTATTCGCAGGTAAATGGATGGAACTGGAGAAAATGATGCTAAGTAAAATAATGCAGACTCAGGGCTGGGATTGTAGCTCAGTGGTAGAGCACTTGCCTCGCATGCGAAAGGCACTGGGTTTGATCCCGAGCACCACATAATAAATAAATAAAGATATTCTGTCCATCTACAACTAAGAAGATTTTAAAAAAATAGTAAGGCAGACTCAAAAAGTCAACAGTCAAATGTTTTCCCTCATGTGAGGAATCTAGAGAGAATAAAGAACTTTTTTTTTTTTTAAAGGAAGATCTCACATAATAGAAGGAAGATCAATAGAGGGGTGGTAGAGGATCAAGGGGGAAAGAAGGGAGAGAAATGGGAAGAATTGGGGGACAAAATTTACTAAATCATACTATATGCATGTATAAATATATCACATGAATCTCACTTCTACATATAATTATAATGTATGAGTCAAAAAGTTATACATGTAACTAGGCACAATGGCACATGCCTGTAATCCCAGCTACTTAGGAGGCTGAGGCAGGAGGATCACAAGTTCTAAGCCAGCCTTGGAAACTTAGTGAGACCCTGTCTTAAAATTTAAAAATGAAAAGGACAGGGAATATAACTCAGTGGTATAATTACTGGTTCAATCCCCAGTGCCAAATATAAATATGGTGAATAGGGAGGCAGGGACGGAAAGGGGAAGTACTAGAGAATGAATTGGAGTAAATTATATACATATATATCACAATGAACCCCACCATTAACATATAATTAGAATACACTAATCAAAACATTTTTAAGAGAGCTAAATGTTTTTCTTTCATCGGAAACAATGAAAAAATATGTGTATATGTGTGTGTGTGTGTGTACCTTCTAGAAATGCACAGAAAAAAAAACTCTGGGAGAAAATAAACAGTTAAATGAGATACATTCAACAAATACTTAGAGCCCCACTATATATCAGATACCTTTCTAGGACAGGATTTTTCAACCTCAGAACAATTTGGGTGGGGTAATGTCCTGTGTATTGTAGGACTTTTTCTCAGCAGCATTCTCGCTTCTCTCCACTAGATGCTGTTCACACTCCCTCTAATCTGAAATAAAAAATGACTGCAGACATTGCCAAATATCTCCTGGAGGGCAAAAACTGAGCACCATCTCAGTTGAGAACTACTATATTAAGTAATAGGGATTCAGCAACAAAATAAAAACCCAAAGTAGTTACTTCTGAGAAACAGATTTAGGAATGGATGGGGGTAGAATAATAAACTATCATTAGTCAAATTCTGACTTCTCAAACTATATACATGCATTATATATATTCATTAAAAAAAGGGAAAGCAGATTATTTAAGAATATAAAATCCATTTATACCTTAACTAAATTTTCAGCTGGGCATAGTGGTGCACACTTGTAATCCAAGCTATTTGAGAGACTGAAGTAGGAGAATCTCAAGTTGAAGGCCAGACTCAGCAACTTAGTGAGACCCTGCCTCAAGATGAAAACTAAAAGGGCTGGTAATGTAGCTCAGAGGTAGAACATGCCTAGGGTCAGTCCCAGTGTGTGTAACACACACACACACACACATACACACACAAAATAAATTCAAAGCAAGCAGTATAGTCATGTAATTCTAAATTTGTATCCTGGCTCCACCACTTACTATATAACTTAACTTTTCTGAGCCTCATCTTCTTTGACTGTAAAATAACAATACTGACAAGATTATTATAAGTAATGCAGGTTATTGGTAAAAAAATATATGTAAATAAATGACATGCAGTACCTGTTTCCAAAGCATTCAGTAAATTCTAACATCCTGAAAAGTACATCCAGAGACCGGCTTCCATATGCCACATCCTTAGGTATAACCAATAGTATTTTGGGTATATAAACCCAAGATCCCATAACTTGTCTTACATTAGAATTGTGAGGCTATTTGAGTGGTACACTGTAATCATTACATTGACTTTGCTCTTGGCAAGTCACCATATATACTGACAGTAAAAACTAACCTGATAATAGTTAATTGAAACATGTTTCAAATAATTTATTCATCTGACAGCAAAAATTTATGTAAGCAGCAAGTGATTTATTAATATAATTACTATTTGAGAACATTTAAGAGTTAAATGCAGCTGGGGGCGCTGTGTTGCACACCTGTAATCCCAGGGGCTTGGAAGGCTGAGGCAGGAGAATCATGAGTTTGAGACCAAATTTAGCAACTTAGTAAGACCCTGGGAGATGGCTTAGTGGTTAAGCAACCCTGGGTTCAATCCCTGGTAGAAAAAAACAAAACTTAACAAAAATCCTTCTTTGATTACTTGAGAAACAACAATCCTTGTAGTAATGGCATGATTCTCATTCATGGCAATCTGGATGTACTGTGGTCAGTTTCTCAGTAAATCCTCAGTCTGTGATTCTGCATGGTAGGTTGTCTCATTCCCATCTTATAGATTAATCCATTCATTTAACAATTATTCATTGAACTTCTGCTGTTATGTCTGCACTGTCCCATGCTGGGAATATATCAGTGAGTCAAACAGACTTTTAAAAATCTTGCGTCCATGGAACTTGTTTTCTGCACAGTACTTGTCCTTATGTAATGCTACGTAAATTTTACTTATTGTCTAGAATGTAAAAAATTGAAATAGGATATCTAGAATGGAACTGGAGTAGCAATTTTAAATAGATTGTAAGGAATGGTGGCCTTTAAAATCATGAAGGAAGATGAAGAAACTGAAGCTCAAAGAATTAGGAACTTCTGCAAAATCACAGTCAATAAAGTTAATGAAAATAACAGCTAAATACAAGCACCTAGAATCTTGATACATCACTTTATAAAAGCTGCAGGGTCCTGTTATAACTCTCTTGGAATTGGTTAAAACCAAACTAAACCTGTTCTTTCAGATAGCTTTCATTAAGTATTAGAGTGAGCCCATTAATGTAGAAATGAAAATAAAACATTAAATTTGTGTTTATTTTTATTTCAGGCCAAAGAATTCCAAAACACAAGAGAAATTCATAGGAGGCTATGGTGGAAATACTTCAAAAAGATTATAGTTACCAGCATGGCAATTTTCCTTTCAATTATCATCATTCTTTTAAGTACAAATGTAATACCAACTTGACACTTCTCCCCACCCCCAACAGGTACCAATAAATTGTTATATGTAATCAGAGTCCTACAACAATTAGGAAAATCTTTCTCTAGTTGAATTGGAGGAAAGTAGTAGTATTTCCTTGTCCCTATGGTGCCCCTTGACTGTCTCTGTACTTCTTTCATTTCTGTAATACTGTTTGCTCTTTGCCACCATTCTACTTCTTCTCTAGCATCTCTTCCTTTGTAAAGATTAAGAACATTGGGGCTTAATTAAATTTTCAGCTGGGCATAGTGGTGCACACTTGTAATCCAAGCTATTTGAGACTGAATCAGGAGAATCTCAAGTTGAAGGCCAGTAACCCCAGCTACTCAAGAGGCTAAGGCAGGATCACAAATCTGAACCCAGTCTGGACATCTTAGCAAGACCCTGTCTGAAAAGAAGAAAAAGGTCTGAGAATACAGCTCAGAGGTAGAGCTCTGTACTCCTGGGTTCAATATCCAGTACCAACCTCCCATTCCCTGATGACCCCCACCCCCGCAAAAACAAACAAAGAGAATCACACTGCCAAAGTTCAACTCTTAGCTCTGCCACATACCATCTATGTGGCTTTGGACAAGTTAACCTGTACCCCTTTTTCCCTCACCTGTAAAATGGTATTGATACTTATTGAATAGTTGTTGGTATGTGATCGCTCACATGTTAACTACTAACAGGAAAATGACTGCATTAATACTGTTAATAAATACTTATAATTGTCCCCCTCAACCTGAAGAGAAATGATCTTGACCTTAAAATACCCCTAGAAACATGAGGACTGCCCAGAAATGTTCACCTCTTCTACATAATTGAAATGAAAATCCAAGCCTTTGTTTTAGATGAAACATTTCTTTGTGTAAGGTTCAAAAACTAGTGAACTGCATCATTTTCTGTCAGTCCTGTCCATCTATCTTACCAATCTAGTCTTTGTTGTTTTTTAAAATATTCCCCCATTCAGTAACCTTACATCACCATGCTTTAATATATAACTTTACAATTACAAATAAGGTGTGATGAGTTCTATTTCCCAAGTGGGAATATGAGGTCTGAAGTCAGTTTTAAAAATCATTTAGTGATTCATGAGGAACAGGAGATCCTGACTGCAAGATAAATCATTTTAACTGTGGCAATGATCAAACATCAGTATTTTAAATAGCCACCAAGCTTCTTATTCCTCCTACATATTATTTTCCATTCACAAAATATTTTTAAGAGATTTGAAATGTTAGAAACTTTGTATGCAGTTTCTGTAGTTTTCACAGGAAAAGGGAAGTGGTTGGATATCGACTCTGATAACAATGTTCTAAGTGCTTTGGGAGAGGGTTATCCTGAGTTTTATAAAGACACTAAGGCTAACATATAAATGGTATGAGTTCATATTACCATCTTTACTTTGTACATGAGAAAACAGCCAAGTTAATGACATATTCAAGGTCACAAAACTAGAAAGCTGCAATTTTATTAAATACTATGGTATATAGCCACAAAATTCATGTTTAACTCAAGAATATGCTGTCTAACCTCTTACTTGTGGGTCAGATACAACAGTACTGCTTTGCTTATTGTCAGTTTGGTAGGTTCTTTTAGGGAAAAGATAAAATTTGAATAGTAGTATGGATGAAGAAATTAATGTATTTCACTTGCATTATTTTTGTTTTGGTACTAGGGGGCTGAACCCAGGGACTTATACATGCCAGGCACTCTACCACTGAGCCCCCAGCCACCCTGTTGCTATTATTTTTCTTTTAACATTTCTCTAATTTACAATCATGTACAAAATAATAATTTGTATGCTGATTGAGTACTACCATAATTACTGCTAGACAATCATGAACTTCAAAGATAACCTTATCTGTCCCATCATTTTATATATTAGGAAGCCACACCTAAATTAATAGTAAGCTTTTTTAAAGTTCTTTTTCAACTTGCAGCATATTTTAAAGTTATCATCCTAGTTCCAGGCAAGAGGTCCCATAAAATTTGTTTCCATATGCAATCTTAAATTTTAAAGAGTTTAGATTTATGAGCTGCCTGGAAATAAGAAAAGCAGTCATTTACCAGTCTTCCTCTATTATTTGTGCTAGAGATGAAAGAAACATACTAAGACCGTCCGATTTTTCATTCACTTGTGCAAATATTGTTGAGCCTCTACTCTGCACAAGTCTTAACAATTAGGATTTATTCTAAGTTACGACATATATAAAAATAACTAATGTTTGAAAAACAGAATAATATCTGTACACAGAAATATAAGACATGGCCCTAATCCTAAGGAAAGCTTATATCCCAGTTAAAAGGCAAGTGCAACAAAAATACACGTTAAAACAGCAGCATTGTGGCAGGTTGCATGGCAGAGGAAGAATCATCATCTGAGGAATATGATCTACACAGGCTTGAGTCACTTCAGGAAGGTTTCACAGGTTATAAAGGGTTGAATTTGGATCTTACTAGAAAATGAATTCACGTCAATAGGTAAAGGCAGTGAAAAACAGATATTTTTAACATTTATGATGTGCTAATAATAACTGTTAAGTATAGATATTTTTTAATCCTCTCAACCACACTGAAATAGGTTCATTTTCATTTTAAACATGAGAAAATCAAAGCACAAGTTTTAACTTGCCTGCATCCCTGGTTTAGTGAGATGAAAGTGGGTCAACAAATAAACACTGCTTGCTGATAGGGGTGCATAGATAGACGTTGGAATTCAATCATGCTATCATTCATTCATTCACAGGGCCTGCAGCATCCCTCTCCAGGAGGCTTTCCTTCACTCCCATATTGCCTTCTTCAGTTCTAACCTCTCTTCTGAATATCAAACTATTTTCCAAATCTCTACTGGATATTCCCATTTGGATACCATGCACACACTTCCCAAATTCAACCATATATTCATCCACCTTTCTTTACAAAACCTACTTGTTTTACCATATTTTCTCTATAAATGTCAACACAGCTATCCTGTAACCTAGAACCATTTTAGCCTACCTTGACTCCTCTTGTCATTTCCAAACAAGCCACCAAAAGCATGGGATTTCTCAAAGCTTCTGAAGATTTTTAAGTCAGGAAAGCTAAAGAATCAAAAAAGGGAGTCATCTGAGTGCCCAGCAAGCTTTGAGAAAAAGCACTCATTCCCATCATAGTTAACATACCCCACCCCCACAAGCCTGGCCATATCATACTACTTTTCATATTGTCTACCCATCTCATGTAGGCATTTAATATCTAGTACCCTTTCATATTCTTGATTTCCATATTCACTTAAATACAGTAATATAGTAATAGCAACAAATGTGGAAGCTTTGAGTTTTTATCTCAACATCAGAATCACCTAGAGATCTTAATAATACGGATATTTGGGCTACAAAACCCTAAAAATTCTGCTTCACTATGGGATGGGGCTTCAAAGTATGTTAAACTCTGTAATAAGGTTTAATAATTACCAACCTCAAAGCATTTTAACATACCAATCATTTAATATCCATGCTTGAGGAAGAGAAAATCTTACAGTTGGAAACAAACTGTGGATTTCTGAACCAATCATTTGAATTATTTTATATTTATTTAAAAATTTTAAAAATCTTCTAAATAGAAAGTCCCATACATTTTAACAGATCTGAAAAGATATTTGGAACTTCTTTGGAAAGTCTGTATTACCCCATTATAGAATCAAAAGTCTCTCAGAGAAATCTCATTGTAGAATTATGGCAGAAACTAGAATTTATGAAACCCATTGTTTAATTCTGGCCTCTGATGTTTTTTGTAGAACAAAAAGGCAAACCACAAGCTGGTTACAAACACAAAGAGGTCATTTGTTGGGGAACAGAAGACCTGCTTGGCACTGCACCATGACCCCACATATAATGATGACCTCTCTTGGCAGGCAAACACTAGGTGACCCACATTCTGTTAAACATTGTTAACACACAAAATGAAATGGAATAATCAAAACAATACTGTTAAAGACTTTTGAGCATAAACATTTTTGCTATTACACTTCTAACTTAATTTACCATTTCCCAAAGGGTTTGTAAACAAATGAAAACAGTAAATGCATACTAACACTTTGAGTTGTCTCACTACATTTGACAGCAAACCCAGCAAAAGCCAAAGACTAAACATCCCCATACAAAATATTCCTGTTCTCAATATCCCACCTCATGCACGTTCTGGAGACAAGAGGAATTGCTCTTTTTCTTATATCAAATTCAGTGACTCTTCAACTTGCAACATAAATTAAATCTTAAAAGGATCTCTTTTAAAATTCTTATGTTTCAATATTATGGTAGTTGTCCTGTCAACTAAAACTAAGACCTACGTATTTCAAGATATTCATCCAAGAGAAAGCTTGTTTAAAAAAAAGACAATGCGAAAAATGCATGAGTGCTGTAAGAGTTTAATCGTAAGACAAAAAGCACTACTACATTATAATTTGAACATAAGTAATCTTTCATAAACGAAAATTTAGTGCAAATTAAAACCCCATGAAACCCCACTATAAACTTCAAATAAAGACTCTATACTTCTAGAAATGGAAACACTGGTTCCAGTGGAATTTGCTTGGGAAGAGTATGTCTTGAAAATGCTAAATGGTACAGAAAACATCACGTAATTTAAAATCAAGTCAACCAGGTTCTAAGAAAAAAGACATGCCAATAGGTCTTAATACATAAAACTAATCGATTAGTAGTAGCATGCTTTATATTATCAATGAATGTAGAGGCAATTTACAACAAATTTATGAGCATTTCAAAGTTTAATTTACTGCCTTAATCAACCTCTTAACTACACTGTAATAAAATCAGTCATCTTCCAAAAAAATTTTTTAGTAAGGTTCCACTTCATTAGTCTCCTACTGGTATTTTATAAAAACATGAAGGTGTGGAATCCAAGGCCATCCATTTAAAAAAAAGCAAACACATTATTCCTTGTCTCAAGTTTATTTATTCAAAGCAGTTTCCATGACATGTTAAATGTCACATTTAGGTACT